TTTTGATCTTTGAAACTAAGCTCAAACCAATCAGGCACCACCCTTGTGGTTAATATTTTAATACAACTTCAAAAGAAATGAACTATACCAAGGGAACTTGTGTCATTGTTGTAGTTTCAAAATATATACGGTTACACACAACGAAATGATACGATGATACATTTCACGACTATATAACTTTTTACGCTATGATGGAGAAACGAAGCCATACCCTATACTTCCGCCTACCGTTTTCAATAGAGTGAGTCCCCCCCCCCCCTTCAATTTCAATAATTATAAAACAATAGAAGTTCAAAACAAATTTGAGGACAGCGTGCCAATTCAATAAATATGGTGTTTGACTTTTGATTAATTAAGTCTACAAGGCTTGAAACCCTGATCACGCATGCTCAAACAATGCAAAATCCTCTCTTATGAAAGATTAATATGACTTACTACTGGTTTTGATAACATCCAACAGAATTAGATCAGATATCTGTTGTGTTTTTGAGACCAGTATCATTTGATGATGAGCCAAACCCCTAATGGTTAGGTGGAGTGGTTGCTCAAGGCGGCGTCTATTTCCATTTATAACTTAAACCCTGACCTCTGTTCTTTGTTTTTAAAGTGCAAAGGTTCAATTTGGTTGTAGATGGACTTTATCTATATTGTCAATGTTTAATATAGATAAAAAAAAGGGTAAAATAGTCATTTTCCTCATTCAGATGGTTTATTCAGCACAACAACCTAACAACTTTTCTGTTAACATACAGACATCTTTATTCATACATGTCTTAATAGAAGACGAACCAAACATCCCCTTAGTTATTCTTGTTTTTTGAGATAATATGTGGTTATGTATTTAATAATCGTTTATTAGAGTTATATACAGAGCTTAAAATGTTGTCGAATCTGCTGATAGTATTTAAAATTACAATAAATAATTTTATAAATAACAGAAAAAAAAGGTAATATTTATGATCAAAGTCATTTTAGATTATTTAACACATAATTGAGACAAATATTAAATTAGAAATATTTATAATTTAAATTGTTTGTGTTCAACAAAAAAAAACCTAACATAAATTGATTGGAAGTTATTCAAAATAACCATTTTATATACTGTACTGTTTGTATATTAATAAATGATATTTTTTATTCACAAAATGACCATCAAAATCGCTCTTGACCATTTTGGGACGATTTTGACCATAAGGTACTAATTAGTCTCACATGTATACCATTTGGGGGACAAAAAAATCAGATATTATGACCTTGATTTCGTCTTCTAATGAAGACAATTTATGACGCAACGATTTGATACATCAATCACGATTTGACGAGACATCAAATGCGATTTTCATTGGTATTTTTTGTTTTTTTATAACCAAATGTAATATATATATATATATATATATATATATATATATAAATCTTGTAGTATTCTCTATAAAATTATAAACAATTCTACTATCACAATGCTTAATCCGCCACTTTGAACATACATTGAACCATTATCATTTTGACGTGATTTCATATTTGTGTTAAGAGTTGTGATGGTAGACTTTGTTTAAGGGTTAAGGGTTGTTAGAGGATAAGTATTTGGATCATTATAATTTTATAGTAAATACTACAAGATTTATATATTTATATATATACACACACACACACACACACTACATATTGTCTTAAAAAGACAAAATATCAATGAAAATCGCCGCCGAAGTTTCGTCAAATCGTTGCGTCATAAGTTGTTTTCACTAAAAGACGGAATAGAGGTAAAACCGTCCCCATGGGGCGATTTGGACCAAATGAGGGCGATTTCATATATATCAGATATAATATCTTATTTTTGTTCCCCAAATGATATACGTGTGGTACTCATCCATACCTTATAGTCAAAATCTCCCCAAAATATTCAAGAAATCGCCCTCTAAAGGCGATTTTGATGGTCATTTTGTGAAAAATCTCTGAAAAAGTGGTCATTTTATTAGCATACCATGTATAAAACGGTCATTTTGGATAATTTCCCTAAATTGATTATTCCACCGATGTCTTCCTAACCAGAAATTGAATTGTCACACCATTTCACGCCAAGTCGCAGCTGGTGTAGCGTATTTACCCACCTTTTACGATGATCTCTTGGAAGACTACACATTGCCGATAACATTGAGACGGTAAACACTTTGATATCTTTTACCTGATCAACAATCTTTATTTACCGCCATTTTTTATACGATTATTCTGTAAAAGACTAAAAACCCCAACCATACACATCTCATAATGGTTTTGGCATTTGATATTATCATCCGAAACGTTAATATGCATCCATTATATGTCAAAATTAAGTCAAATTATACACCGAGAATGTAAAAAGTAAAACCACAAGATGGTGCCTGATTGGTTTGAACTTAGGTTTCAAATATCAAAAGTGTCTGGAGTCGCCAAGTTCAAATCCAAGAAGAAATAAAAATCTTATTTTGACCACGGAGGTTTAAATGCGGTGACTCAGATACCCGCAAAGCAGGTGGTCGCTCTGGGATTAGTCGACTCACATAGCGGGTTAGATATCCAAGTTAATAAAAAAAAAAAATAGATTTTGATCTTGATGCTTTTAAGGAGGAGATTAGTAGGTAGGGACAGATTTACTAATATACAGAGTTATTAATAAATATAGATTAAATATCATGAAAAATTAAAAGCAGACAAGGTTTAAAAGTATTAATTATAGATGATGATGGTATTATTAATAATAGAACAAAGAATATTGTATATAAAGAAGTATTTTAGTAATCTATGATACGTGTTTGTTATTCTATTAATATTTTAACTACTTAGCTTTGCCTAATTTCTTTTACGTTTTTTTATAATTTTGTTTTACAAGTTCTTAATATTTACTCATATTATTATTAATTTTTTATAAAATACATATTGCTTTTATTTAATTCTTGTAAAATACCTCGTATAATATACGGGTTCAAACCTAGTTTACTAATATATAGGGTTATTAATAAATATAGATTAAATATCATGAAAAATTAAGAAATATATATTTACATGTGAATCCACTAAAAATCCAAAATACATGTATATATTTTTTAATGTTGGAAAAGTTTAGAAAATCCAATGGACTTTAATGTTTGGAATAATTAAGTCTTTGGACAATTTTTTGGAACAAATAAGTCATTCGACATTCCAAAACATGTTAAATAACTCATTGGACAATTTTTTGGAACAAATAAGTCATTGGACAAATTAAAACATGTTAAATAACTCATTGGACAATTTTTTGGAACAAATAAGTCCTTGGACAATTTAAAACATGTTAAATAACTCATTGGACAATTTTTGGAACAAATAAGTCCTTGGACAATCCAAAAGATGTTAATAACTCCTTGGACTTTTCTAAAACCTGTTGGATACATTCTTATTACTTGTACAACTATTTGAACGATTAAGTCCCTAAATATTTTTTGAACCAAAAAATATTTAGATTTATAATATTAAACAAATATAACAAAAAAATACTTATATTTACAAAAAAAATAAATACATTTAAAAAAGACTTTTGATAAAAATTATTTTAATTAAAATTAAAATATATTCTGTCAGTGATTTTTCAAACAAAAAA